CTGAGCAACAGGGTCGCTGGTTCAATTCCTGGCCCGAGCTGAGCTGCTGCTGAGCTGCCAACAGGTGGCAGGATGGCTCAGCTAAAAAAAAAAAAAAAAGGAACTAGCCTTCCAGTTCCTAAGACATCTAGATTAGATTTTCTGTAAGGAGGAGATGGGAGACAGCTTGGATCACCCGAGCTTACTCATGATGACGTGATTTAGAGGGCGGTGCAGAGGTAGGTGCAGCCCTTGGGGTCATGAGAAGTTTCCTGAAGTCTTCATTGGTAAGTTTTGATCTAGAAGGCAAAGATTTTAAAAATTAGTATGCATTCATTAAGAATTGGAAAAGGAATATGTAAAAAATATGGTTAACTGTACTGGAAATCAGGAAAATACAAATTCAAACAAAGACATGCCACTTTTAATGCATCAGTGTTAATTATTAAAAAGTTTGATAAATTAAGTATGAGTAAGAATTTGGGAAGTTCTTAGCCGCTGATGGGAATGTAAGCCAGTATAGCCTACTGGAAGGCAATTTAGCAATATCTATTAAAATTTAGGTGTGCATATCCTATAACCCAGCAACTCCATTCATCTATATATGGCCAATTACTGGCATGTGTACAAAAAGGACTGTAAAGGAAGTTCAATTAGAGCTTTGAAAATAAAACTTGCTAACATCCTAAATGTCCATTAACTGGAAACTAAATAAACTATGTTTCCTAAATGTGGGGCAGATAGCACTGATAGTGCAAGGGATAATTTTAATTGGTACAAGAGTGACAAGAACTCACTCCTTGACCAAACTTTAGTCAGATTCCTTTTAGCCCTCTTCGAACTGGGCCTCTTCGTTGGCCTGCTGAGCCTGGTTTTAGCACAAGAAAAAAGCAAATAGCAAAATAACTTATATACACTATAACACCATTTAACTTAATCATTTTAACTCACAAAGCAATGATATATTTTCCTCAGATATACATGTATGTATATAAATGCATTAAAAAAATAGGAAGAAATGTTACACATTAAAAAGATAACAGTGGTTACCTCTAAGAACAGGACTGGAATTGGGGATGTTATCAAAGCGAATTTTACCCTTATTTCTGGTGTTTTAATTTTCTACAAGAATTCATTCCTATGTAAATGTAATTCAACATCAACTTTAAAAACTAGCACCCTTCATGCCAGAATTTCTCCTCTAATACCGTTATGCAATTTACCTGATCCAGTTAAAGGGGGAAGTGGTACGATTTTTTTTGACCACCCTTGCTGACAAGACATTCAGAATTCTTTTACCATCACCTCCACCACTCTACTCATTGCCCAGCTCATTCCCATCGAAACACTCACTGGTGGAAGGAGTGAGGATCGTCCACATCGTGGCCATCTGGGGCCAAAGGGTTGGAGAACGGCTCGCCTAAGAAAAAGAATTGACATTAATTTAATCAATCTCTTTTGTGTCAGGTCCCATGCAAAA